CCGCCCCCCTTAAAAAACTTACGAAAAAACAAAAACAACAATGAAAATCCCAAAACAAAACATCAACAAAAACAAACAAATAAATAAATAAAAAACAAAAACAAACCCAAAACAAAACTTACATGTACTTGTATTATGTATATCAGTACTAGTCAACCTATTTATACCCAGGGCCCACATTTTGCCACCTTTAAGTGACTACAATTTTTGTTCCATCCTTCTAAATGTATTTGGATGCGGGTTGATAAAATCTGTCATCATGAAGGAACCCCGCCCCCCAAATGAAAATGACCAAATCACTCACTCATAGATTAGGGGATATCGCCCTTGTTGGCGTGTTCTGATCTAAGTGGTGTCGATGGGGGTGTAAACCATAATACAATATACAAAAATGTACATTCAATCCTGGCGAAATATGGACGTTATTGTGTTGTGCATCCACAGACTGTTGTAACCAGGCAACGAATGTCATAAATTGTTGCTGGCGAAGTGCATCCGTTGTTTTTTTGGGTTTTTTTGGTTGTGTATAGCTTTAGTCTAAAACTATTTTTTGCGAAATAGGGCCGTTATTGCACTGACTGCAAAGTACATTTGATTTCATTCCCTGGGTGAGGTTTTATTAGTCTTGAATAAGATCGATATTCGATTTTCACGTCGTTGGTGTTCGAATCTAATCGTGTATCCACCAAATTAAGTCAAACATTTTTCATTTTGTTCTTTAAATGACGTTATTTTCAATCCTTGTTACAATTGGTAATACTATGATTAGTACGAACAACACCGTACACAATGTTATGCAATTCTTGAAGATAATAAAGACATTGCGTTTTTTTAAAAAAGCGTTACTTAATTTGGTAGATACACAGTAAAAGTCGGATTCCAGCTACATGCTGTTTCTAGCCACCTTTTGTCCCTGCTCTAAAGAGCAATCTTTCTTATGAATGCGATTTTTTTTTCACTTACCCCCCCCCCCCCCCCCCACAAAATACTAAACCAGTATTTTCTTTTGATCGTTTCTTCAGGTTGTGTTCAAAGCAAAGGCAAAATATGAACCAGCTCAGTACAAGTAAGTCCCTTGGTTATGTTTCATGGAAAAATGTGTGTGTTTCTGTTTGTTGTTGTTGTTGTTGTTTTTAAAAAATATTGTACCCTTCACAGTGTAGTCGACGCATCTGCAAGGCAAACCCACTTTCAATAATTCATACACAATCACACACACACACACACACACAC